CATGAACAATTATCACACTTATGCTCAAAATTTGCTTATATTATTCTCTTGGTATCACAATTACCATACTTTTTGTTGATGATAAAGTGGGAGAAATATATGAGTATTAATGTTATGCTATGCCTTGTTTGTATCGTGTCAAGATATCAAACAAAAAACTTGCATCGTAATTTTATGTATTGATATCTTACCATGTGATGAAATGCAATAATTGCTAAAACATTTAAAATGTGTGCATCATGTAATGATATCAAAATCTTACTTCGCAGTTTTACATGTTGACATCTTACAATATATGATGAATTGCTACTATTACCATCATTCAAACTTGTAATGTAAAATTTGAAAATGAATGTCAAACCTTGACATCATTTTCAGAGAGAAACATCATGATGGGAATCATGATGGGAGTATTGATAAGTTTAAATGATTTTAACTTATCAATATGTCTCTTGAATTCAAATGTTTTGAATTCAAGAATGACTTATCTCAAGTATGGCATATAGACAGGGGGAGTTAAGGTTAACTCCATTATCAATTGATTTTCATCATAAAAAAGGGGGAGATTGTTAAATCTCGGATTTTGATGATGAAGTCAATTGTCATTTGTTATCTAATCTATATGTTGAGATAAGTGTGTAGGATTAACTACGATGAAAGTAAGATATGCTGCAGGAGTTACGCCGGAATCAAGACAATAATCACGTTGGGAGTTCGAGAGTTCGACGGAAGTTCGGACAGTCATCGGAGGTTTTGCGGGAACAAATCCGAGAAGTACATGAGCTTGCCAAAGAAGCTCATCGAAACTCGCTAAGTGGATCATCGCAAGTCCAGGAGTTTGCCGGAAGTCCGTAGGAGCATCACCGAGGGTTCATCGGATGATCGACGGAAGTTCGCCGGAAGCTCGCCGGAAGAAGTGATTGACTCACCGGAGCAAGTTGCAGTAAATGTCTTAGGAAATATCGTAGTTAGCACAATGATTAAGTTGGAAATGGGAGGTGATCCCATTAACTTAATCTTGGGGCAATTGGGCCCCTGAAAAACCCAAATTGGGCCGAATGGATCAACCCATTCGGACCGTGATTTCTGCCAGGCGGTTGAACCGCCCCAGCCAGGAGGTGGCACCGCTTGAGCTCGGTCAGTCAGGCGGTGGCACCGCCTGAGCTCGGTCTTCGAGCTATGGCAGGAGGTGCAACCGCCCTTGACAGGAGGTGGCACCGCCTAGAGAGTCAGTCTTCGAGCTCTGCTAGGCGGTGCAACCGCCTTAGTCAGGAGGTGCAACCACCAGATCCCGAAATTTTGGGAATTCATAGTTTTGAGCTCGAAATTCAAACTGGGTTGGGGCCTATAAATACCCCACCCTTTCAGCACTAAAAGAGCACCAAAAACACACCGAAATCCTGATCTTATTCTATGATTTTTAGAGCTCAAAATTATTGTAAAGGCCAAAAGTTCTTCTCCCTCTTTTCTTCCAAGTTCTGATCTTTAAAGAGAGGAGAGAAAATTCTGTAAGGGTTGTCTCCTAAGCCCGTCAAAATGAGTGAAACTGTAAAAGGGTGGTTGACCTTCGCCTATTGAAGGAAGGCCTCTAGTAGACGTTAGTGACCTCGTCGGTGGAGGAAGCCAAAAGTGGATGTAGGTCAAGATTGACCGAACCACTCTAAATCTCGGTTTGCATTTACTTTGAGCATCTTATCCTTACTGCAAACCTCCTCAATAGTTTACTGCCTTCTGCACATTTACGATCGTGTTTTAAAGTTCAGTATTTTCCGAATCGACGTTTAGAATTAAATCAGTTTTATCGTACGAACATCATATTTCAGTTTGCACTTACATTTTAACTTTCATCATAACTGCAAACTGCCTTCATAGATTTCCTTTAACTACATCTTGCTTGATTACAAGTTAAAGAGATTTACGAATCGACTTTTCTACCGAAATCGCTTTTATCGTACGAACACCTTTTTAATCGTCAAAAGTTTTCAGCTGCACTAATTCACCCCCCCCCCCTCTTAGTACTCTTGATCCTAACATGAAAAACTTTTACCGAGTCCTTTTAGTCCATTGACGACATCCGTGAAACGGGTGTACATGTCGCCTATGGTCTCGCTCGGTTTCATTTGAAAAAGTTCAAGAATGTATTAAAAGATTGAATTTTGACTCTTTCATTCTACTTGTTCCTTCGTGAGTCACTTCGAGTGTGTTCCAAATATCAAATGCAGTTTCACAAACCGAAACATGATTGAACTCATTTTTATCGAGCGCACAAAATAAGACATTCATAACCTATGCATTAAGAGTGAAAGTCATCTTCTCCAATTCATTCCAAATGATCATTGGAAGAGAAGACTTTGAAAATCCATTTTCAACAATATTCCAAAGTTCAAAATCCATGGAAAGAAGGAAGATCCTCATTCGGATCTTCTAATAGGTGTAGTCTATCCCATTAAACATGAGTGGACGTATAATAGAGTGGCCCTCTTGGTTTCCGGCATATGTCATCTCTCTTGGGTTTTAATCTAATTGAGAGTTAATCCCACTTTGATACCAATTGTTAGGATCAAGAGCACTACGAGGGGGGGGGGGGTGAATTAGTGCAGCGGATAACTTTCGACGATTTAAAACGACATTCGTACGATAAAAACACTTTCAATAAAAAATCGTTTCAGAAAGTTCTTCAACTTAAGATTTAGTGAAGTACAGTTGAAGAAAAGCAATAAAAGCAGTTTGCAGTTAAGATAGAGAGCAGAATATAAATGCAAACTAAGATTTAGAGTGGTTCGGTCAATCTTGACCTACATCCACTTTTGGCTTCCTCCTCCGATGAGGTTACCGACGTCCACTAGAGGCCTTCCTTCAATAGGTGAAGGCCAACCACCCTTTTACAGCTTTACTCCTTTTGACGGGCTTAGGAGACAACCCTTATAGATTTTCACTCATCTCTTGAATGATCAAAACTTAGATGAAAAGAGGGAAAAGAACTTTTGGCCTTTTACAACACTTTTGAGCTCTCAAATTCTCATAATAAGATCAAGATTTCTGTGCCCTTTCATGCAGGAAAGGGTGGGGTTTATATAGGCCCCAACTGGTTCGAATTTGGAGCTCAAAAATATCATCTCCCGGATTTTCGGGGTCCTGACGGTACTACTGCCATAACTGGGCGGTACTACCACTTGGCATTGCTCTGAGACCGAGCTCAAGCGATACCACCGCTCAGCTTCGCTCGGAGACCGAGCTCAGGCGGTACCACCGCTTGACAGGGGCGGTACCATCGCCTGGCATTCCTGGGAGACTGAGTTCCTAGGCGGTGCCACCGCCGGCCAGGAATTCTAGGTCCGAATAGGCTGATCCATTCGGCCCAATTTAGGTCTGTCAAGGGCCCAATTGCCCGCAGATTAAGTTAATGGGATCACCTCCCATTCCTAACTTAATCTACGTGCTAACTACGATATTTAAGACATTAATACTGTAAATTGCTTCAGTGCATCAATCTCTTCTTCCAGCGAGTTTCAGGCGAACTTCCGTCGAACATCCAATGAACCCTCGGCGATGCTCTAGCAGACTTCCGGCAAACTCTTGGACTTGCAACGATCCACTTGGTGTGTTCCAATGAGCTTCTTTGGTAAGCTCCTAGACTTCTCGGATTTGTTCCCGCAGAACCTCCGACGACCATCCGGACTTCCGTCGAACTCTCGAACCCCCAACGTGATCATGATCTTGACTCCGGCGCAACTCCTGCTGCATTTCTTGCTTCCATCATAGTTAATCCTGTACACTTATCTCAACATATGGATTAGATAACAAATGACAATTGACTTCATCTTCAAAATTCGAGATTCAACATGACCATGGGCGATTGCCGCTTGGGCGTGACCTCTGGTCGTGCGCGACTACTGCTTGAGCGTGGCCTTTGCTTGTGCGCGATTGCCACTTAGACGTGGCTATTACCTAAGCACAACTACTACCGTGCGACCGGCCTAGTGCTCGGTCCACGACTGTCACTAGCGTGGCCGCCACGATGCATGGTCAATAGCGGTACTCGACTCATTGCCTAGTGGTCGCCCACGGCCGTTGTTGTTGCTGTAATGTGCATGCTGCTTGACGTAGCTGCCTACTGTAGTAGGTCTGCCATAGTAGTCGCATGTAGCACCACTGTTGTAGCCGGTGCGACTGCACAGTGTTGCATAGCCATGACCACCACTACACAATCATCGAAGATCGCGATACAAAAAGCAAATCTTATGTCACCCGCAAGCCAATGACAAGAAGGACTAGATATAAATTTAGATCGACAATATACATGAATTATTCAAGCATAGTAAATCAGAAAATAACATATCTAAGGTATTTGATTTCAAGAAACTAGGCTTTGATACCAATCGTAAGTATAAAATCAATAATATGCTATATATAATGTGAAAAAACTTTCATGCCAAGATTGAAATCAAATAATAATAGATCGGATTTACGATACGTAACTTTTGATGCCATCTGGAAAGAACTTTATCATATTTGTAGGGGCACATCTTTGAATCCAAAAACTGCTATCGATCTATAAGAAAAACTAGACTCTTCTTCTCATCTTTTCTAATTCTTTCATATGACATTTTAGATTGATGGATTATAGATAAAAAGGATGAGAGAGGAACTTAATCTCTCAATGATTGTCATATATCTATATGTCGTATTTGTGTCAATGTTTGTCACGTCACATCACACAGCATGTAACACATGTCATTTAGTCCCTAGAAGAAATTATCTATATATATATATATATATATATATATATATGAGAGCAGAAGGTTTAAGATAAGTAATGAGGAGAGTTTCACCCATCAAGGGCATCTCCCAAGGAATCTAACTATAATATAAATTTATTTTTTATTAATTATAACTTTTATCAAAATATAATTGATGTATAATACATCTTATCAATTAAATAGGACAAATAAGCTAACAAATCTATGACAAGGAGAGAGATTTAGATGTCAACACAGCAAAGAGAAAGCTTGTATTCATAACCACAATAGTCAAAATCCAGTACAAATCTCTCATTAAAACAATCAAACAGTTGTATCATTAAGAAAAACTATAACAGGCAGTAATATGATCCATATTGCAAAGCAAAGATCTTCCTTTCAACACAGTCACTTGAAGCAACAATCCAACCCGCCTCCAGCATTCAAAAAGAGCCTGCAAGGTTGACAGATTGATAGAACCGAGTCATCTTTGTGCAAAGAAGGAATTAAGAATTGATGTAGCCATCAAAATCACGCAGGAATCACCTGAAAGATGGGTTCTTTCAGCAGAGCGGATCTCCTTCAAGCTTGTAGGAAAGCACAGCACCGACTAATAATGAGGACTGAGAAAGAGAAGACACAGGACGGAAGCTGCGGAGATTAATGGAGTCCCGCAGTAGACATCTCTAACCTCCTCTGGTTCGACTCGTGTCTCTGAAGGCGGATCTGGTCGTAGTTCTTCCTTATGAAGTCGTCGAAGCGGCGGTTCAGCTCGTCGCGGCCCGTCGCCGACGGTTCCCTCCACCTTATCGCGACCTTTTCCGATGGCCTCGGTTCCCGGCCGCCCGGCTTCTCCCAACCTCGGGAGGGCGACTTCTTCATGATCGCCTTCCACGTGGCGTCCATGGAGTCGATGTCTACCGCGTTCTCTGAGGCCGCCGCCGCCGCTGTCTCCAACTCGTCTGACACGTCACTAGTTTCTCTAGATGGTTCAGTGCTTGTGTTGATCCCAAAGGAAGATGAAGCAGCGGGCTTCTCCTCTGTGGGCGGGTCAGACGGCTCCCCAGCGCCGGAACTTACCACTAGTTCCGGCGCCGTCTTCGGCGATGGCAGGACCTCGTGCCATGACTCGGCCAAAGGTTCCCCAGGGGGAGGCGCAGCGGAAGGAGGCACGAAAGTTTTGGCCTTTACGTCACCCACGCGCACCGGCGGCTTTTCCTCCCGCAGCTGCTGCTTCTGGTCGGAGAGTTTCCAGATGACGAGGATGATGAGATGGATGACAACGAAGAGATAAGGTGGCACAAGCCAGGAGCAGAGAGAGGCCCAGAAGCGGGGGAGGGCAGAGGCGAGGACTCCGGCGGCGGGGGGGACAGCGAGCCGCGTCGCGACGCCAGTAGAAAGGATTCCCAGAAGGAAAAACCCGATCTTGGAGACCCATATCGCTTTCTCAAGTCCAGTCGTCGGTGGTCTCCTCCTCAGATCCGCCATCATCGCTAAAAGCGCAAGAGAAATCAAAACTCGAACTCAGCAATGTACTCAAGAGCTTCAATAGATCCAGGAACGGAGACGAAGTGGAATCAACGAGCAGAGAAGCCGTAAAGGAGAGAAGGTTCGAGTTCAGCCAGCGCCGAGTGGGCTTCGGGGCTTCTTTAATAGAGCGGCGAGAGAAGTGGGACGAAGACCGCAGCTGGTGAGCACTGTCGTTTGATGAGATGTGGACGGTAGCAGATGATCCACATGTGTATGTGTATTATCACGCTAAATTACCAACAGTTTCAAGTAATTAACCATGAAAAATGGAATCGGATTAGACTCAATAGCCAACTCTGCTGTGGTTGTAAAGACTCTCTGGTTGTCATCTCAGAACTCCATCTACTGTCCGTACATCTCATCAATCATTGCTTTTGTAGAAGATTCCCTGCGATCATTTGAGTGCACATCTAATCACACTAATTAATGATCTTGCCAACGATTCTAAATTTCAAGTGCTCGTGCTTATTGCTAAAAGTGGGGAGTGGATTCTGGTCTTTATGACCATTCTTTTTATTTTACAACTATAAAAAAGAATAATTTATAGGTTAAGTTTCTTTCCTTACACATTTACCAGCTGCCATCTTTTCTTTTCTTTCTAATATATATTCTTTTATAAAATAAGTGGGTGGTTTCATTAATAAAATAAATTAAAACTATTATATTCCCCAAGGAATCTTATTCTATTGCTATCAATGGGTTTATATATAATAAAGCTAAAAATAGTAGAATCTAGTTATAAGTATTGATAGTGTTAAAACTCGGATTTTGATGATGAAATCAATTGATGCATTAATTGATCTAATCCATATTATTAAGTTAAGTGTGCAGGATTAACTATGATAGCTTGAAGACATAAAGTAAGTCTACATGAGTCAAGTTCGATGGGTGTTCGAGAGTCCGCCGAAAGTCCGAAGAATCGTCGGAAGTGCTGCCGAAACCAACCGAGAAGGAATTAGGGACTTACCAAAGTTTTTTGAAGTCCGCCAAAGAGATCGTCGGAGGTTCGCGGAGATCACCGAGAATGTTCGGCTACTTGCCAAAGACTCGCTGAACTCGTCACAAGACAGGGAGACTGTTGGGAGTCTGCCGAAAGAAATCTGAGGGTATATCATAAGTCCACCGAAAGTTCACCGGAAAGCTCGCCGGAAGGAAACTCGACGTTGCCGGTTAAAAACCTACTTAGGACTATGTCTTAATTTCATAGTTTGAATATAATTAGGGTTTTGATTAAGGGTTAATCCTATAACCTGATTAGGGGCCAATTGGGCCCTGATATAGACTGGTTTGGGCCAAATTAGGAGCCCAACCAGCACTACCCGTAAGGTCGGGCGGTGGCACCGCCTAGGACCCGAAAGGTTGGGCGATGATACCGTCGGACTGGGAGGTGGCATCGCCCAGAACCCGAGAGTTCCGACGGTGGCACCGCTAGTACACTATTAGTGTCAGACACGGACAAGCGGTGGCACCACCAACACTGGAAACCCAAAAATAATTTAAATTTGGAGCCCAAATTTGAATTCTCTTGGGGCCTATAAATACCCCTCAATTCTCAGTAGAGACTACACCTTTTTGAGAAGTTAGAGATTGAGAAAAAGCTTTAGCAAAGTCTTGTTTTCAATAGCTTAAGTGTTCACCTCCCTTTTTCTCTTTGAAAAATCTGTAAGAGTGTGAACCACTTGTAAAAAGATTGTAAGAGGGGTATTTGGTCCTTCTCCTTCAAAGTGATTTGCTAGTGGAAGTTGAGAGTCTCATCGAAGAAGGCTTCGCAAGTGGATGTGGGTCATTTGACCGAACCACTTTACATTGTGGTGTTCCTTGAATGTGTGAGTGTTTAATTTTCTGAACCACTTATCTTCTAAGCAGCAAACTATTCGGTTTTCTTCTCCCTACTCTTGACTTCCTTTACTCGAGCTATTTTAGCTAAGTCATCCTTCATCGAATCGAAATCTCTACACATTTACGAAATCGATTTCAAACTTACGAGTTTTAATCTACTGCACTAATTCACCCTCCCTCTTAGTGCTGCTTCGATCCTAACAATTGGTATCAAAGCAAGGCTCATTCTCATATTTGGTTTAATACCCAAGAGAGATGGCTTACTTTGGCATGCAAGAGGGTCACTCTATTACACGTCCGCCTATGTTTAATGGGTCGGATTACACGTATTGAAAGACTCGTATGAAGATCTTCCTTATTTCCATAGATTTTGAGCTTTGGAATATTATCGAAAATGGATTTAAAAAATCTTCTCTTCCGATGAGCGAATGGGATGAATCGGAGAAGGTTTTTGCTTTAAACGCAAAGGCTATGAATGCCTTGTTTTGTGCACTTGACAAAAATGAATTTAATCGCGTTTCGATTTGCGATTCGACTTTTGATATTTGGAGAACTCTTAAGGTCACTCATGAAGGCACTAGCCAAGTGAAAGAGTCCAAAATCATCATTCTTGTGCATTCTTATGAACTTTTTTGGATGAAACCAAGTGAGTCCATCAGAGACATGTACACCCGTTTCATGGATGTCATCAATGGACTCAAAGCTCTTGGTAAAGGTTTTTCTAAGTTTGAACTAGTAACTAAAATTTTAAGATCCCTTCCAAAGAGTTAGGATCCAAAAGTTATGGCCATTTAAGAGGCCAAGGATCTTAAAACATTTCCTCTCGAAGAACTTATTGGGTCTCTTATGACATACGAAATGACGTGTCATGCTCATGAAGAGCTCGAGACCCCCCTTCCAAAGAATAGGAAGGATATGACACTTAGAACACAAGAAGACCACTTGAAAGGAATATCAAGTGATGAGGATAGTGACGATGACATTGCACTTTTAACTCAAAAATTTTAAAAATTTATAAGAAATAACAAATTTGAAAATAATACCAAAAACAAACTTGAACATAAAAAGGACCAAGTAATATGCTACGAATGCAAGAAGTCAGGGCACTTCAAAAATGAATGCCCCCAAGCCAAGAAGAAGTAACCAAAGAAGAAGAAAGCTTTAAAAGCAACTTGGGACAACTCAAGTGATTCTGAGAATGAAGAAGCTAGCAACAAAGAGGAGGCATACTTCGCGCTAATGGCTTTTGGAGGAGAGGTATGTGATTTAATTAATGAAGATTTATCTTTCGATGAACTTTCTATCGCTTTTCACGAATTATTTGATGAGTGTAGAACTATTAGTAAGAAGTTCAATCTATTAAAGAAAGAGCATGCCTTACTATAAAATAAGCTTGATAATCTTCAAACTCCTCCATGCTCCAAGTGTGAACACTTAGAAGCAATAAAAAATGAAAATTTGCTACTTAAAGAGACCTTAAACAAGTTTAAGGTTGACAGCAAAGGCTTGGACATGATTCTTGTAAACAAGGGTAACGTTGCAAATAGAAGTGAAATTGGTTTTGTGAGAGGATCCCACCAAAATCCTACCACCTTCATTAAAGGACCTACATTACATGTTTCACCTCATTTGAAATGCAACTTTTATTGTAAATCCGGACATGTTGTTTATAAATGTCAATTTAAGAAAATTATTCCAGATAAGTTGATATGGGTTCCTAAAGAAACTATAAATAATTCAATGATGAATGACAAAATTAGTAGATCAATTTTTGAAGTACCCAAAATCAAATGGGTACCTAAAAACCATCCTCTTTTGTAGACAAACTCATAAGCTAGGAGCAAGAGATGGTATCTTGATAGTGGATGCTCAAGGCACATGACTGGAGATCCATCTCATTTCTCTATGCTCACTAGCAAAGAAGAAGGGTATGTCACCTTCGGAGACAACAACAAAGGTAAAATCATTGGCAAGGGAACTATAGGTAACAAATCAAGTTTTTCAATTGATGATGTGTTGCTAGTTGATGGATTGAAACATAATCTTTTAAGCATTAGTCAATTATGCGATAAAGGTTACATCGTTAGATTTGAATTTAATATGTGCATTATTGAAAAACTAAACAATATATCAATGATTTCCTTAAAACAAAATAATGTCTACACCATCAACCTTGATGAAATATGCTTTTCCACTTTAAATGATAATGCTTGGCTTTAGCATAGGAGATTAGGTCATGCAAGTATGAAACTAATATCTAAGATTTCATCTAGAGAGTTAGTACGAGGGATTCCTAATATGAAGTTTGTTAAGGACAAAGTGTGTGATGCTTGTCAACTAGGAAAACAAATAAAAACTAGTTTTAAACTAAAAAATTAAATTAGCACCACTAGACCATTGCAATTGATCCATTTAGACTTATTTGGACCAATTGACACAACGAGAAAGCAAATATGCCTTCGTAATTGTAGATGACTATAGTAGATACACTTGAACGCTCACAAAAGTGATTGTTTCAAATGTTTCTCTAAATTTTGTAAACTTACTCAAAACAAAAAAGACTTCATGATTTCATCAATTTAGAGTGATTACGGTGGCGAATTTCAAAACCGTGACTTCCAAAGTTTTTGTGAATCCAATGGATATAATCACAACTTCTCTACTCCGAGAAATCCTCAACAAAATGGGGTAGTTGAAAGAAAAAATAGAAATTTACAAGAAATGGCAAGAACTATGTTAAATGAACATAGTCTACCTAAGTATTTTTGGGCCGAAGCCGTTAATACGACTTACTATGTCATGAATAGGATTCTAATAAGACTATCTCTATCAAAAACTCCTTATGAATTATGGAATAAGAAAAAACCAAATGTTTCTTATTTTAAAGTTTTCAGTTTAAAATGCTTTATTTTGAATGAAAAGGATGCCTTAGGAAAATTTGATGCTAAATCCGATGAAGATATCTTTCTTAGTTACTCTTCTATTTTTAAGGCTTTTCGTGTTTTTAACAAAAGAACCTTAGTTATAGAAGAGTCTATTCATGTAGTTTTTAATGAAATTTTTAAGTTAAAGAAAAATAATTTTGATGATGATCTTAGTTTTGATAATTTGAATTTAAATGAACCCCCTCCTCAAAATAGCAACTTGGATGTATCTTCTTCTGAAATTTCCTTACCCAAGGAATGGAAATATGTAGATACTCATCCAAAGGAGGTAATTATAGGAGATACATCAAAAGGGATTCAAACTTGCTCTTTCTTCAAGAA